CCACCCATGAAGACACAAAGCCTGGAGCTAAGCACCCAACACCTGGAGCCCAAGCCTTGATTGCTCCCTTTCCCAACTTAATCCTCAGCAAGTCGCCAATTTCTCAGGAGGTACAAAAGGAGAACAAAGCTGCCACATGCTCCTGCCCCTCCCAAGAATGCTAACTCCAACGTGGACAGCAATGCCTGAGAATCTCTGCTGAAGCCGTAAAAGCTGGTTTGGGACATCAAAATCAGGATCGTTCCGCCCCAGACAGCGAGACCCGTGCAGGGGACACGGAGCACCTTGAAGCCATAGCTCTCTGGAGGCCGCCTCGCAACTCGAATAGGCTTGTCCCAGGAATAGCCCAGGAAGGCTTCATAGACACACCAAATTCCTGGGCTGAGCTTTAGCCCGGTGTAGACGCTACCAGTAAAGAAGTTACAGCAAGAGCCAACCGGAGAGCAGCCAGGGCTCGGGTATAAACACTGTAAGAATGATTTGGGATCACAAGCAAAGACGACGACTGGCGCAGAGCATTGGCGAAGGGCGACTGGCTAGGGACCTGTAGCAAGTCTCCGATGTCCAAGTTCTGGGGGTTGGACAGGAAACAGATGTAGGCACCCACGGCTCCCGGCGGCCATGAGTGAGAAACTTTGTCCACAAAATCGAAGAGCCCCTCAGCCCATGCGTGGGTGATGAAGAGGTCGCCAATCAAGCCTGTGGGATGCTTCAGCAGGGCCCAACTGACATTTCCGGCAGCTGAGGTGACCGGCTTGATGAGCTGCTCATTCACTGTGTATGCCGTTGGCCCTGTCTGCATGTCCTGCAATCAGGTCAACCGTTAACCGACACAAGTGTCACTCAACATGACAAAATACCCAACAACGGGCTTCTCCGATCGTTGACGCAAGGTTCGGATGCCGAAAACTTGTCAAGTTCTGTTGGTCTGAGACACCCGTCTTGGACGCAATGATGCACCAATCTTTTGAACTGGAGCAGGTCATCCAAGCTTACACCTTGCCTGCGCCACACGTCTGTGGAGCTCTGCACCATCATGAATGCACTGCGGTGGCGCCAGAAGTTGAAGGTCCTCGTGTGTGGCAGGCGCAATGGTGGGACGGTGGCGGTGGATCATCAGGGTGGCGATCAGCGCACCA